TATATATTCTATATATTCGATTATCCGTTCTCCGTATCGACTCTCAATTTTCATGGTAAAATGTCGTGTTACGTGTTTCACGGTTAAAACAAACCAGCGCTGGCAGAAACGTTGTTGGCGTAAATTGGAAATCGAACGACGATCTTTTCTCCGTGATGAAGAAAAAGGGAGGAAGACAACAAGAAGGAGATGGAGGAGAAGAACGAAGGAGAGGTATAACAGCGTCTCTCGTGTACGGGCCGACAGATGCCTTCCCACGTTTTTTCGTTGAGACATGTGCCCGGCGCGGAAGGCGAAAGGGTTGAGAAATTCAGTTGCCGGCCGGGTGGGGCGGCGGCGGCAAAAAACTGCCCCACGATACAAGATTCCGCCGGTAATCGCTGCGAGCCGCGATTCCACGCGAACGAGGGGTGAATTCGATTAACGGGTACGGGGGTCACGGTCTTTTTCCCAGATCAGACTGCGTTTTTTTTCTTTTAAACCTCTGTCCCTTTAATAATCGGTCGGTGGCACGCACCCTTAGCCACCGTGAAGCTCGTGCGTGTGTAAACAACGATTGTTCATTCACGGCGCGACTATATATGAGAAAGTTCTCCGGTCTGCGTCGCTTGTAACGCACTATATCAAAGAGCCTCTCGCCCTTCGTGACATTTTTGTTCATCAGATTTCTGTCGAGGACGTCGCCGTGATCACACAGTTTTCTTCAAGTTCTATCATTTCTGTCCGCTGTAATTTTTATGAATTCGAGCGACAATATTTGTCCGGCTTTCTCGAATCGATTGATTGCGTAACGTCGATTCCCTTGATGATAAGCGCCACATGAGAATTCAGAGGTAAAAGCAAGCCCAAGCACCCCGCGAAGGATCCCAAGAGGAACTATCCAAAGCGCTCTCGATTGTTATTTTTGATAGAACAAACAATACGCTATCTACAAAAAGGAGATGACTACGAATCATGGCGCGATTATTTAGATTTTCGGACGTGCTTGGATCTGAATTTTCTATTCGCAAGCTTGAGGTTTGCTGGTATGCGCTTAAGCTCGACATACGTCCGCCGCATCTCCCAGCGACGTCGACTGCTTTTAACTTGCTTGAGACTTGCATCGATTATATAGGAAGCCCTCGAAACGGAACAAAGGAAACGGCGGACAAAGAGCGTTTAAACGGGAATCCATCTGTATATAAGTATCGAGGCAAGCGTGAACCCACCACCACCATATGCGTGCGTAACGAGTAAAAAAACTGAAGGTGTCGCGCGCGCGCGCGAGAAAAAGTTAATGTAAAGATTTTCGATCGTTAGAGGAGCGATTATTAGCGGTAAGTATATGCACGCGCGAGATTACCGGAGGATTGATCGATCCTTCTGTTAATTTTTTTTCTCTCTCTTTATTTTTTTTTCTTTTTTTTTTTTTTTTTGGTTTGTTTTTTCCCTACTTTCCGTAGTCCTTTTCGTATTTAGAAAATTACCGGCACCGCGTATCAGCGAATTTGCGAGTTGGACGTCGGATTTGGTACATACATGACTGACCTTCGACGTGTGGGTACGGAGGCTGGACTCCGTGGCGAAGCCCTTGCCGCAGATGTTGCAGTGGAACGGCCGGTTCTTCGCCCGCTCCACCTGAGCGTCGTGATTCCTCAGGTGTTGCTGCAAATTCGACAGTTGGATGAAGGCCCGCCCGCAGTCCGGTAAATGGCACTTGTACGGTCGTTCACCTGCGATCAGATACCGTAAGGCGTATTAGAATTTCGTGCGGCTGTGCACGAGCGTAATACGTAAATTGTGTTACACATTGTGGAGCACGTAACGGCCCCGTTCAACACGCTCGATCGCGGGAAATTCGCGCAGGTCATGCCACGCGATTTTCCTAGAGATCGTACGAAATTTCGAAATTTAATCCGCCGGATCGGAAGATGAATAAAAGAGAGAGAGAGAGAGAGAGAGAGAGAGAGAGAGAGAGAGAGAGAGAGAGAGAGAGAGAGAGAGAGAGAGAGAGAGAGAG